CCCCCCCCCCCTTTTCCCCCTCCCCGTTACCTTTCCAGTTATGAACTTGTGTGCCATGCGGATGATGAGGAAGGCCCAGAAGACGTGCAGCAGCTGCAGTACCCCCATCATGGCATTGAAGAAGTAGTAGCCAAAGAAGGCCGGGTAGAGCTCCAGGGGGTAAACCACGGTGCAGTGCATGATCCTGGGCAGGGGAAGGGGCTCCGTTACAGACCCCCCCCATCCCATGGGCCTCCCCCCCCCAAGGCTCAGCTCCCCGCTCACCAGAAGGGCAGGATGACCAAACGGGTGACGATGAAGACGGCAGCGAAGACGATGAAGATGTTGTTGCAGGTGTTCCTCCAGTTGGCGTAGTTGAACATCTTGGCTGACTGCAGGTGGGGGGGGGGGGGGGGGGGGGGGGAGGCCCGCCCCCCACGGGGGGGGGGGGGGGGGGGGGGGGGCCGTACCTCCAGCAGGTAATCAGAGGAGTCGTGCAGGGCCATGATGAGCGTCCCGGCACGGACGTAGTTGGCAAACCAGGAGAAGCTGATGAGGATGATGGTGGCCACGTGGTGGATGATTTGTTCCTTGAAGTCCTGTGTGCAGCACAGGGGCGGTGGGGGGGGTCACCCCGGCCCCAATCTCCCCCATTCCTGCTGCTCCCCCTCATCCCAACCCCTTCTGTGCCCCAAAAGTGACCCGGAACCCCAAGGAGGGGTGGGGGGGTCAGGGGGTCCCACCTTGCGCTTGACATCAGAAGCGATGCTGAAGAGCAGTGACCAATAGAAGGAGAGTTCGATCATGTAGTACCAGTACTGGGAGGGCAGGATGCTCTGCAAGCCAAGGACGTGTTGGGGGCTCAGGGATTCCATCGTCCCCCCCCGCCCACCGCAGGCATCGATCGATTGACCGAGGGACCACCCTGGGCATGGAGGGGACCCCCCAGAAGCGTGGGGATCCGACGGGGGGCAGCCCCACAGGGTGGGAACGGGGCGGGGGGGCTCACCTGGATGGGGTACCCCTTCCACACCTCCCGGAGGTCGTAGAACCACGGCTTCTGTGGGATGGGGGGAGAGAGACAGAGAGAGGCATTAATGGGGGGCGGGGGGGACACCAGGCACGGCAGTGGGGGGCACTACTCACATCCACTATGACAGCCATGCCAGCAATGAAAGCAAGAAGGTAAAACGTGAATCGCCAACTGGAAAAAGGAAGCAGACCGTGCTCAGGGGCGCAGCTGGGGGGGG